TTGTATTGTGAGAAGTACTCTATAATTTTTCTAGGAAAAAAATGTATCTCAATAGTAATGAAAATATTTTTAAAAGTTCTTCAAACAAGAGAAAATAAGGACTCCAACTATATTTACAGACACTCAAGAAATATATACCTTGAAACAATAAGTGAATGTAGCAATTTCCATGCAATTACTCCACACTGTTTCCTACTAAGAAAAACAAACAATGTGGAGTAATTTTAAATCAGTTAACAATGCTTATGCTTAGAGAGTGGAATTAGCAACACACTTTCACCAGTGATCTATCTTATCTGTTTGTACATAGCTTATATTATCAACAACACATACAATATCTCTTTTAAAGAAAATTCCAGGTGGATATTTTTATTCTTGTATGAATTTCTAAATCAAGTGGAGTCATATAGGGATACTTAGAATTATGGTTAAGGAAGATGATTCATTAGAGAGTTAAAAAATGGGAAAATAAAGGAATCAGAATTTATAAAAGTTAAATAAGAGCATTGTCAGGTTTGGATGAACCTACCTATCTCTGTAGCAAACAGATATTTGAATGATTACTGTATTTCATACTTTTTCTGGTTCCTGAAAATCCTGTCAATAAACAAAAACATCCTTGAATTCCTGAATCCAACACTCTAGTTGGAAATAAAACCAATACATGGGTAAATAAATAATTTAAAGATGTGATATGAAGAAAGATAGACCTGAGTGTACCAAATATGATTCAGTGGAAATGGATTACAGAGGAAAGGTTATCAATAAATGCCTTACTAGAAAAGGCACTTTAAGCAGACTCCCTGGAAATGTAAGGAAATCATGCATATAGTGATCACAAATACATGGTGAGTCTAAGTAAGAGTGTTTGTTTAAAGGAATTTGCTTGTTTGGAGGAAGATCTGGAGAAACATATTGTCCCTGTTGGTGAGTTTAAGAAAGTATGTAATGGTCACATATCTTACATCATTTACATTCAGTCATTGTAGAAATAGAACTTACACTGTTAAAATCATGTGCTCATCTCCTTCTTTGTATAATTTCATATTTTAAAGTGAATATGGAAACGATGATCTTATTGCCTTTTGCTGTAGCTACACAAAAGGCCAGTGATAGTTCTAGCCTCTGTCAGCTTATCAACTGATTTAATTTTTTGCCACTTGTCTGTAACATTATCAACATAAATGGAAACTGTAGCAAAAACACATTTGTGAAGAGAAGAGTCACACAATAGGTCATAATTCTGAAGGAGATCATTCAATGTTCTATAAAAGTCAACTAAAATCCATTGAAATGCAGGCAATGTTGTTATAAACTGAAACATATATCATAAAATCATATATATTAAGTATACCATAGGGCAGAGAGTGCATACATCCATGATCCATGTGAGTTCTTACCATCTCTCCATCACAGACAGCTGACTTCATATTTAAAATGCTAGCAAGCACGGAGAATGACAATCAATGCTTCCAGAACTCGATAAGCTAATTTTCTTCCACAATGGTCTACATTTTCACCAAGCCATGAAATTTCTTTTTCTAGGTCAATTTACTACAAGAGTCAATTTACTATGAGAGTCAATTTAGCATAGATTTTTAGAATTTTAGTCCTGGGGATCTATAATGAGTGTATATTTAAAATGTTTAGCTGTATCACCTAAATTTAATGTTTTTAAAGAGAAATATAAATGTTGTGATTCAGGATGTGAAATCCCCAAGAAATTTATCCATGCTAGCAAAAAGTGACAGTTAATATTTTCCAAGTTTAATAATTTTTTTTGTAAATAAAATTGTATATAATATTCTTTTGTCCCAATAGAGGCAAAAAACACAAATATCTTGTTAATAATAAATCCAAATTCTTTCAAACTGTCATAGAAAAAACAGAGGTTGTGTGGCCTTCTTTATGACAGCTATTTTAAAATAATTCTGATACCTAAGCTACTGTTGGGGAAACAGTATTGTCTTATTCTGGGATGGTGTCAATGAAAAAGGTCATCAAATTCAAGGCAGAGAATAATGAAGTTATCTTTGTTTAGTAAAACCAGTATTCAACAATTAACTATAAAGCATTAATTTTCATTTATTAGTCAAGGTATTTTAAAAGGAAAAAAAAATACCTTTTGAAGTGAAAGAGATCGGAGGGCTTAATTGCCAAGGAATTAAAAAAAAGTTTTCCGAAATAGGTTTAGGATTTAAGACTATAACATTATAGGATTGCTTGGATAGATGCCATCTTTTGGCAATTCATGAAATTAATGCATTGTCTGATGATTCATAAGAGGTCAGTTAATTTGTACATTTACTGACCCCCCTGATGAAATATGCAGACAAGAATAGTCTTAAATCTATGCAATGAAGATATTTGAAGATATCTAATTGACTTCCAAGAATTGTTATAGGTTTCAGAAATGAATTTATTCACACAAACACAAGTGTTAACATTTTGACAAGTCATATTTTTCTGCAACATTGAAAGATCTAACCACCACCGAACATTTGATATTTTAAAGATTAAATACTTAATAACATCAAAGTGCAGACCATTTAGAAAATAAAGCATTATCTAGTCTTCGTACATGAAACATGAAGAGGACATAATTAACACACATGGCCTGAGCTCATGTCTCGAGTGCTTTTCCCCCAGGACTGGAATAAGTGCAGACTCTCTCTTCTGGTCCCCAAGGTATGGGGCTGAAGAGAGTTCTGCTGCATATGAGTTTATGACTCTCACCATAATCAAACTTACAAATGATCTTTTAACACAATCTAATTAAACTAATCAATTTATTGCATAGTTTACAGGAAGAATTACTTGTGTGCTGTGATGAGAAGGGGGCTCCTGGGACTGCTAGATACAATTTACTCAATCCCCTGTGGGCTGTTTTGTCTTCTCCATTTCATAGAACACCCTCTAAAAATTTCCCTGATGATGACCCTAAGCATGAATCAATAACGATATTAGAATTTCACCTTTTGATGCTCCCAGTAGTTTAAATGATAGAAGTACCCCTGGACTTCCTGACTTCCCTAACAGTTAAAACTCACAGTAGGCAACTCCCTCCCACAATAACAAGGTTATTCACACTTCTTTTCTTCTAGCTTCTGCTTGCGGTTTTATAATGGACATTTTGCTTCTTAATTTTGAGAACCTGGGGAGAAAGGTGGGCAGAGAAATGAATGGGTCATTAGTTAAAAGGCAAGGGTTGAATCTGTAAAAGGTTGTGGCAAAGTAAGCGAGACATGGGAAAGAGTGAAGGGCATCAATATTGATCTTGCCTCTCAGTTTTCCCTCTGTCTCCTGCCTTGCAGGTGGCCATTGTGCAGTCCCTCAAACAAAGCCGACTTTATGTATGGTGTGACTGATTTTACACTCCTGAACTAGTCCATCATCTGCTAATTTGGTCCAATTAAACACTGGTCACAGGCAAAACCCTGGAAATTATGCTCATTTAGAAACACAACTTCTGATTAATTTGTGTCTTGCTCATTGATAGCTCTTCATCTAAAGGCCCTGTTTTTATGTTGTTGATTTATGGAAGTAGTTCTTTAACCTTCCCAAGTCTCTAATACTTCTTGCAGTCCTACCGAGGAAGAAACACATCTCTATTTCTCCACCTTCTGAAGGCGAGTGCTCAAACTTTTTTTTTAAACATAAGATTCCCTGTTATCCGGACTTAGAAAAATCTCCCTGAACATTTAGTAGAGGAAATATTTATACAGCACTTACACATTACACAGTCCTTCCCTAACACATTTTCACTCTTCGTTAATCCTTCCAGTTCTAAGAGCCAAACATTATTCTTATTCCTGTTTTGCATTTGAGGAGGCATTACAATCAGACATTCAACTAACTTAACAATATAGAACCAGAGGCCATAGCTATGAGATTCGAACCAAAGCCTCTTGGGTCCCACTGTCGACTCTATCAGCCACCCGGCTCTATTGAGACCTACATCTAGTCCTCGCCCAAACTGCGAATAAAACATTGCAAAACCCATTTCTTCCACTCCCAGCCCTGTCCGTCTCTGCTAGACGAGTTGCAGGCAGGTAGGTGTTCGCTCCCTATACTTAGCCTCTCCCACGCCCTCTGCCATCTTTCCCTCTCGCTGCTGGGAGCGGCAGAGACTGCCATTGCAGCTGGTGAGTGGGCAGGTGCAGCCACCATCTGCTCAAGAACTTCGCACCCAGGACCTAGCCCAGGCGCCACGGGTTCCAGAACCTGCCGGGGACGCGGCTAACCCCGCCCTCTCGCGGTGGCGATGGACCCTGGCCCCGCGTGAGGCGCCCCTTCAGGAAGGGGGCTCGTCTCCCCTGCCGTGCCTGCGAGACAGATCCACGGAGGTGAGACCTGCCGGGGAGGCGTGAATGAGGGGCCTGGGCTCTTCCTGCCCGAAGGGTCCTTGAGCAGCCTGTTTGTTTTTCCCGGCGCGAGTCTCCACCCTCCCCAGCCTCTCATTGGCCGCGCCCGGTGGGCGGCGGCGTTCCCATTGGCCAGGGGGCGGTGTCTGTCCCTGGCCAGGGCGAGGGCGGGGCCTCGGCGCGCTGAGCTTGCCCTTGTGTCTGGTGCTCGGTAGAGCCGCCGCCGCCGCCGCTGCCGCCGCTTCCACCGCCGCCGCCGCCGCCGCTGCCGCCGCTGCCGCCGCTCGCGCCGCTGCAGCCCGAGCATCCGGGAGCCGCCTCCGCCAGCGCTGCCGCCGCCTCCCCTCCCAGGACCCCCAGACACCCCGGGCGCCAGCGGCGGTGCTGCCTGCTTGCCCTGCCCCTCCCCTCCGCGACCTACCCGCTCCTCGCAGCCCTCGCCCGCACCTTCGCCGCCAGCCCGGCATCCCTGCGCCACCTGCTCCGGCAGCCCCGGCGGGCTCCGGGACTTGCTGAGCGCGCCGAGGGGAAAGCCAGCGCCAGACCCGTGCCTGCCAGACGGGCTGTCGCGGCTGCACCAGCAGCAGCTGCACCACCAGCAGCAGCAGCAGCAGCAGGAGGAGGAGGAGGAGGAAGAGCAGCAGCAGCAGAAGAAAACTATTTCGTCCACCGAAATCCCCGTTCTGCGGGTACTTGGCCGCTGCCGCTAGTGCTGCCTCCGAACCGCGTCCGCGGGTTCGAACCACCGCAGCGGCGGGGACTGTGGGTCCGGCGGGCGCCGGCCCGGAGCAGAGCCCAGAGGAGCCCTGCACTTGCGTGCCCCGCTCACCAGCATCTCCTAGCCCCTCGTCCCTGCCCCGAGACCCTTAGAAAAGGGGACCATGATTTGGAAACGCAGCGCCGTTCTCCGCTTCTACAGTGTCTGCGGGCTCCTGCTACAAGGTAATCCCCGCCCCGCCGCGGGGAGCATCAACTTCACGCCCATTCCCCATCATCCCCGTTCCAGCCCGCATTTCCACTGTCCCCCTTCCAGGCTGCCGGGCCCCGGCCGCCCCCTCCCCCTACTCCCCGGTGCGGCAGGGGGCAGCGGCCGCGTGCGCCAGCCCCAGGCGGCGGAGCCCCGGCTCTGCCCTGCCAGGCGGCCCCGGACGCTGCACCCCTCGCCTTTTCATTCACCTGAGCTTCCTCCGTCTCACTCGAACCCCACCGGCAGCAACTCCCACCCCCTCCCCACCTCCCACGCCTCGGGGCTGGCAACTTGTGCCTGCTCTGAACATCCCACCCTCCGACCCACCCCCATCAGCCACCTCCTGTATCACGCTTCTGACCGACCCTCTCCATCTCCTGTCATCTTTTTAACCTCCCCCTCTCTCGGGTCGCCTTTCCCCGGTCTCCCGTTCCCATCACGAGCCTAGCCCTGTGTCTTTAAAAAGTGTGTGAGAGCCTGGGAGCGAGCTGCGGAGACGACAGGAGCAGCAGCAGCAGCGGCGGCACCGTGTGCATTGCAATAACATCCCGGGGGTGGGGGTGTTGTGAGACGTGTCATTCACCTAGAGAGAGGAGACTGTGTCTGGGATTGAAACAAAAAGAGAGAGAGAGACGAGAGACAGAGACGAAAAGAAAAAAAAAAAAAGAGAGAGAGAAAAGAAAAAAAAATTTAAAAAAAGGAGAAAGAGAGGAAAATGCATGAATGAATAAACCCAGGAATTTTAAAGAAGAGGAAAGAAGGGACAGATTAAAAGACTTATACCGACTTTATCAGTGCATCGACTTTTTATTATTCAATAGGTGTCGTTTTCTGTCTTGCTCTCTGTCTCTTTTTAATAAAGCAAGGAATGCATGCTCCCAGCAGTTACTTTATTTCCAAGGTGTTTTCTTTTAGCCGCTTTCCCAGTGCATTCCCTCTCCGCCGCTTCTCTCCGTAATTAATATTATCCTTTCACGTGAAATGTAAGAACCCCTACGACCGCAGTGGAGGGAAAACCGCACAAAACTGTGTTGTCATGCAAATCACTGGGTCAGGATGCTGGGTGGCTGAGCAGCCAGGGTGCACTTCTTCCCCAGACCCCCTCTTTGGGAAGAGGGAGCTGTGTAGAACGGGAGGACGCTGCTGATTATGAAATACATAGCAGTGCATGGAGTAGGAGCGCGTGGGGCGAGGGCACTTTTGGGTGGTGGTGGAGGAGACAGAGGCGTGCTAGGGCTGGGCGGGCAGAGGCTGCACGGCGGAAGATTGTTGCTTTGAAGAGAGAAGTGTGGGGATGTGGCTGGAGCGTGAGAAAGAGGGAGGATGGATGTGAGATGATGGGCGGTAGATTTTTTTTTTTTTTTTTAAGCTAGGTGAGTCTTGATTTCCTGATAAATCTTTGCCCACCTTTCACCCTTCTGTCATCGTTTGGGTATTTGCAGAGGAGAAATAAGTTGATCAAATTAATTTGTCCCTGGGTAAGGGGATTTGAAAGTAAGACACACGTAGACCCGAAGGCGTGCAAAGCCCAATCGGCCTTTGGGGGATTTAAATGAGGTCAGTGAACCGTCTTTCAGCAAGTTCTTGGAATGCATCCTCACTCCGACCGACCCTAAACGTCCTCTGGACTATGGAGACCAAGGACCGCATTTTATTTCGTGCATATTTATGAATGTAAAAGAAAAGATGATGGGGCAGAATTTTCCTGAAATAGCTAGCCGACCAGGCAGAGGCGATTTCCTGGAATATTTTGCGGAGATTCTGTGCATTTTACGTTGGATGTAAATTTCAGATGTCATGTGCCAGAACCGCCGAGAAGGCAGACAGCACATTCTGCCTTGCTTACGCCGCCTGGTCCCATTTCCCACAGCGTACGCCCCCACCTTCGCCTAACTAACCCGGGTGGCTGACACATTACTTGGGTTTCAAATCCGTGCTGAAACATCCTCCCGGAGACCCTAGTTCACCTTTCAGTAACTTGCATTTCTCAGCTCCGCTAAATGTGTGTCTGAGTGTGTGTGTGTGTGTGTGTGTGTGTGTGTGTGTGTGTGTGTGTGGTGTGAGCGCGCGTGCGCGCGCCGGCAAGCGTCGGGTAGGGGGAGAGTGATGTGGGGAAATCAGTTAATTTGGTGATTGTAATGAAAATTCGACACCGCTGGATGCGTTTCCTCTGCCAATCTGTGTGTGCTGGCCCCGGCCAGTCATTGCCTACACTGCTGGGCTGGTGCGAGAACATTATTTATTATAGAGCGTGTGGGCCATGCACTGCACTTGGGGGTCGCCTCCTCTCTTCCTTCAACGTTTCCCTGTGAATTGTCTATTTTGCACTGCAAAATAACTGTCTACTGGTGCCTCTCTCTCAGCCTGGAGGAGGATTTACTCTTTCTTTACCCAGAGAGATTCCATCAGCACTATTCAGGGCATGGGTCTCTTTTTATTGAGTATGTAAACCCATGATTAAGACAGTGCTGCTTTTCACAGCCGACTGGAGGGAGGAGGAGGAGAGCTGGGGTGTGAGTATGGCAGGGAAAACGCACCACTGCATCCAGCAACACTAGCATCAGGTCCAAATAAATAAGTCAGCATCCTGCACAGCGTCCAAGGCAAGAACATCAGTCCAGGAATGTTTGTGTACTTGTGGACATTTGAGATCAAGCCATTTGAATACACTGAGATGGAGAATACGATTTTTTTAAGGGGGGGGGGGTGCAAGGCATCACTGGATTGCCTTCTCATGTTTATGGCTGCCTCACATTTATTAAACACTGCTCCACTGACACATCACACTTTGTTGATATTGTCAGCTCTTGCTCAAACAAATTGCTCAAGCCTTTCTTGTTTCACCCTTGGCTGAAAACATTTGCTTTGGGGGTTCAGATTTATTCTTCTCCCACCATCCTACCTTTTCGTGAGGACTTGGCTAGATTATAAAATCTAAGCGTTTTATCTGCTAGGCACAGATGAAATGCTTAGTAGGTATTGCTGTGTGCAGGGAAAGAGGGGTCGTGGGGAAACTGTTGAGCAGCTCCCTTTGAACAGGGCGAGTCGGCTCTGCCCGGAGTAGTTATGACTAGGCAAATACTACAGTCAATAGCTTCTTGTTTTTAGTTCTAACAATCCTGGAATGGGATCTTGTCACGTAAGCAATGCTAATCAATTCATGTATCACTTATATTACTGTTCCCTTTTTCAAAGTAGACATTATTCATACACAAGACAGTCCATTCGAACATATCTTCTCCCGGTTTCTGTGTGTAATTCCGTGTTTTACATTGCTACCAATTTTTTACCTTTTCTGGGAAGCAAAATCAATTTTCTGGCTTGTTAATATGTACAGTGATAAGTCAGTGGTGAGAATCGAGTCAATGATAAAATGAGTTTTTGTTAAAAAAAAAAAAAAGCCTTACATCAGCTCTGTAACATCTATCAGTTGGGCCTCAATAAGTCTTTAGGAAATGAATAATAAGAGAAAATAAGCAAATGTTTCTGAGCAAAGATTTATTTCTAACCAGAGTGTAACTTTGAATGTAGACTACACAGATAACAAAATTTGATTCAGTGCAAGCTACAAGGTATCTCTTGTTATTTTGCTCCAAGGTAGAAGCAAACAGAGGGATTCTGGAGTGAGGGCAGAGGACACATTAGAAAAAGGCATTTCCTCAGAGTGAGGAGTACGAAGCTTGCCACCTGTAACTAAGACTTCTTGGCTTGGCTGGAGTGTAGATCCAGTTCAATTGCTTCCTTTCGCTGGAGCTGTGCACTTTTCCATGCCTGAAGGAGCTGTGCAAAGAGGCAGAATGTCCTGTGCAAAACATGAAAAACTCCTTGAAAAGGCAAAAGAAAAACAAAGGGGGAGAGGTGAGGACAAATATAACAAGAAATAAACCTACAGGGAGACGTCTATTTTTTTCCTCACATACTTTTCTTTTTGTAATAAGCTTTATTAAAAACAACCACAAATCCCATCAAATGCAAATGACAGGCATTTATTATTATTGCCATGGAAAATTATGATTAAAATTTCATAATATTTCGTAACAATGAGCTTCATGGTGGAACTCAGTTGGCCATATGAGTCATGAAGTTTACCATATTTAGAGGGAACAGTGAAATATTTAGCCTGATACAGTCCTAGTTCTTTTACACGTGAGAGCTTGGGCCTTGCCACACTTGTTTCTTATACCAAATGTTTACACATCCCTCCATTTTTTGCTGAACAGAAACTTTGAAAAGTAATATCTGTGCTTAAGAGCTTATGGCTATTATTTAAACAATCATATTTCAAAACACTTAGTGATTCGAAAACATCACTGTAAGCCTGAGAAAATTTTGTAATAATTTTGTATCAAGATGTGGATGCTTAACTTCTAACTCTGTCTTTCCCCCATTTCTGCAACTGTTAAAATTTGTGGGAACTTAATACGGTAAATCAAAATTTTATCTGAGAAGCCGTGTGTGACTTATCTGGAAGATCAGAACAGTAAAAACTATCTGCCCTGTATTTAAATAGCAAGATACCACATTTTGTGAGAAAAAAATTACTGAAGTAACTTATAAAAGTAAAATAGAAGGCCCAGGGTGACAGCTTAATTGCTAAATACTCCCCTGCAACCACTGGAATCCCACACGAACACCAGTTCCTGTCCTGGCTGCTCCACTTCCCATCCAACTCCCTGCTTGTGGCCTGGGAAAGCAACAGATGATGGCCCAAAGCTTTGGGAACCTACACCCACAAAGGAGACCTGGAAAAAACTCCCGGCTTTAGCTCTGCTTTGCCATTGTGGCCACTTGGGGAGTAACTCAGTGGATGGAAGATCTGTTTTTTCTGCCTCTCTTTCTCTCTGTATTTCTGCCTTTCCAATAAAAATAGATTAAAATAAAATAAAATAAAAGCAAAGCAAAATGGAGCTTCAAAAATGTATAGTGACATCCCAGGCATGCACTTGAAAGTGGCTTGGAATCCATATTAAATATG